GGAAAACTGGTTATCCACATGCAAAAGAATGCGACTGGACTCGTCTTATGCCATACACAAAAGTCACTTAAATTTTTTTTAGCTGTCTGATAACCACAAAGGAACATACTAACATATGTAGGATTTAGCATCATGATATTCTCAATACCCTCAAAACCACCATTTCATGTAAGGTCTATGTGAATCTCAACTTTCGTTTTCCCCTAGTGCCTTTTCCCCTTTAAAACTGCTCTTCTCACTCTTCTGAATTTTGTATTTATCATTCCCTTGTCTTGGCTAATAAGAAAAAAAATCCTGCTATATTAGTTTAAAATACACACACATATGCACACATGTGTTTATGTCTAAATTATAGTTCAGCATTTCTTGTTTTTGAGCTTTATAAAAGTGACAGCCGCCTAGGTGGTCCACTGGGACTCACTTTCTCACTCCCACCATCATTTGTGGGGTCACTCGTGTTGTTGCATGGACCTTAGATCATCCATGTTTTCCTCATTTTCTCGTGCCCCTGTTTGGGCCCCTCAGGATTTGGGATGACTCCCACGCAAAGGGTTCCAGTTAACTCTAATTCTGACTTTTTACAAGCTGTCATTAAGCTTTCTCATGTTGCTTGGCTTATGGGAAGCTTTCAGTCATTTACTGATTTAATGAAAATTAGATAGCCTTAGATATTTGTAGTGAAATATTTCCAATTAAGTTAATTGGAATTAATGCAGAATATGACTTAAACCATTGTGCAATAGTATTTTAGCACTTGCTGCTGGCATGGGAGGGGGAGGGGGAGGAGGAGGGGAGGCTGCTGTCAGCATATTAAGCTGGGGAGTGTGCACAGGCTCAGAGGAAAGGTGAAAGCAATGTCTTTTCCTATTGGCCTTCTCTCTGGTCCACTTACGGCTTTTCTCCTCCTAGGTAATACATTGCTCAGCTTCTAGTTGATTCCTTCACCTAGTATGTTCTGGATTAAAGCTTTAGTGTAGCTAAACTTACTTATGTCTAAATTTTTATTTTAGTTCTTAGAAAGATAGTTAGCATCCAAGTTGAGAACATTTCCAAAGACCAGAAGTTTTTAGGGGTTGTGATTGGTCTGTGAATTAGAATTGTATGTGCAGTTTTCTGGAGATTTAGCTTTGATTAGAGTCTGGGAGTCTTTAGTCCCAAAAACTGATTGTTTTAAACCAGGGTTTCTCAAACTTGACCCTACTGACATTTTGGGCCATGTTTTGGGGGTCTATCCTGTGCATTGTAGGATGTTTAGAAGCATCTCTGGTCCCTGCCCATTAGATGCCAGACCTTCTCCTCTCCCAGTGATGACAACCAAAAATGGTCTTCAAACATTGCCAAATGACTCATGGGGCTCAGTCCCCGTGGAGAAACACTAGTTCACGTGTTTTTATTTATTTATTTTAAATCCTCACCCGAGGATATTTTTCTATTTATCTTCAGGTAGAGTGGGAGGGGGTGGGGGGAGAGAAAGAAACATCGATCTGAGAGAGACGACACATTGATTGGTTTGCATGACCCCGACCAGGGCCGGGACCGAACTGCAACTGAGGTACATGCCCTTGACTGGAATCGAACCCTCAAGCCTTCGGTCTAAGGGCCGACGCTCTAACCACTGAGCAAACCGGTCAGGGCAGTTCATACCTTTTAAAAAAGTTTTAGGTTCACAGCAAAATTAAGCAGAAGGTGCAGAGGCTGTGTCTGGAACCCCTGCCCTCACATGTGTACCCTCCCCCACTGTGAGCACCCCCCTCCCCCCCGAGTTACAGTTGATGAACCTACAGTGACACATCATTACATTAAAATCCATAGTTTCCATTAAGGTTCATTCTTGGTGGTGTACATTCTGTGGGGTTTGGACACATTTATAATGACACATATCCACCATTTATACTATCACACAGAGTAGTTTGACTGCCCTCAGAATCCTCTGTGCTCTGCCCAGTTATCCCTCCCTCTCCTCCAACCCTTGGCAACCAGTAATCCTTTCACTGTCTATAGTTTTGTCTGCTCCAGAAAGTCATATAGTTGGAATCCCACATAGGTAGCCTTTTCAGATTAATATATTAATATTTCACTTAGTAATGTACATTTAAAGGTTCCTCCATGTCTTTTCATGGCTTGATAACTCATTTCTTTTTTCTTATTTTTAAATTTTATTTTCAATTACAAATTACATTTAGTATTATTTTGTGTTAGTTTCAGGTGTACAACATAGTGGTTAGACAATAAAATACTTTACAAAGTGTTCTCTGTAATATTTTCAGTACCCACCTGGCACCATGCATAGTTATTACAATACTGTTGACTGTAAGGTAACTCATTTCTTTTCAGCCTGAATAATATTCCATTGTCTGGATGTGCCATAGTTTGTTTGCCCATTCACCTACTAAAGGACATCTTGATTGCATCTAGGTTTCGACAATTATGAATAAAGCTTCTGTAAACTTCTATGTGCAGGTTTTGGTGTGTGCACAAATTTTTAATTCCTTTGGGTACAAACCAAGGGGCTCTATTCAATTGTATAGTAAAAATCTTTAGTTTTTTTTTCTTTTCTTTCTTTCTTTCTTTTTTTTTTTTATGGTACATGCCCCTAGCAGGAACCGAATCCAGGACTCTCTGGTCTGCAGGCCAGTGCTCCAGCCGCTGAGCCAAACCGGCCAGGGCAAAAAATCTTTAGTTTTGTAAGGAACCACCAAACTGTCTTTGAAAGTGCCTGCACCATTTTGCATTCCCACCAGCAGTGAGTCAGAGTTCTTGTCTCTCTCTACAGCCTTGTCAGCGTTTCGTGTCATCAGAGTTCATACACTCATTAGAATGTTTGGCCGTTCTAATAAGTAAGTGTATGATGTTATTTCATGGTTGTTTTAATGTACATTTCTGTGATGACATATGATGTTGAGCATTATTTTATATGTTTATTTGCCATCTATATATCTTCTTTGGTGAGGTGTCTGTTAAGGTCTTTGGCCCATTAGTTTGCACCTATTAACTAGCTGACTTGACTCATTTAAGGTTTTCTATTCTTGCATGGCCAATGGGGCACATAACTATTTATGGAGCTTGAACACCTAGCTTCAATTTAGAGCAACAGGGAAGACTTCAAGGTTGGGTTGAGTGGGGTGAATGTTATAACATATTTATATTTTAAAATGTGTATTTGCATACATACTGAAAATACACCTAATTAAATACATACTGCTATGAAGTAAACAGTTCATAGGTATTACTAAATCATTGCAAGAACTAGGTACTTGCATGAAGTAGGTACTCTCCATTTTATGGATAAATAGAGGCTTGTGGAGGCTGACATCTCTGCCCAGGGCCATAAGTTAATGAATGGCAGAACTGGGAGTGGAATATGTCTCTAGTGTCAAATCAGCTGGTCTGTGTTCTCAAACTTAGAAGTGGTGTTAAAATGTCTTCACATGCCAGCGGGCCAGATTCATGTCACCATGGCCTTGGCTGGCATGAGAGGCATGGCACAAGTAGGGAATTCATGGTTGCTAGAATGTTTCACTAAGCAAAACAAGTGCTACAATGTTTCGGGGAGGGGGTCTGTCTGTTTGTCTTGGGGGGGGGGGTGTTTGTGTTTCTTTGCAGGTAGCCAGTTTACTGTGTGTCCCAGAATAAATTTTTACTGATAACCATCTTGAGCAAGGAATAAGTATTTTTTTTTCTTTCCTTTTTTTAAAGAAATGGCCTGCTGCATATGCCATGTTAGTTACCTGAAAATGAGATTGCTTTCAGTTAAGTTAATGTGTTAGGGCTTTGATGAATATAAAGTGGATCCTTGTCCCTGAGCCTGTTTAAAGTTAATATATTAGGAGTATAGATGGTCATAGTCTACAAGGTTATATTTCATTACAGTCAAATGTGGCATTCCCAGGATTGCTTTGTATATTTTATGAAGATTCTTTAGCTTCTTGATGTAGGGCCTTTAAACATCCTGAGACTGGTCTGACCAGAACAGAATTGGGATGCGGATCAGATAGTGCTTCTGACTGCTTGTACCTGGGACACCATCGGCCTTTGTGCACTCCTGAGTCTTCCCCATTTTACCTGGTGCACCTTTCTCACCTTATTTCTTGTTGGTCCTTCTGTGTTAAAACCCACACTGCACTGAATTTACTTTGCACTCTACCACTCTTGCCCCCACTTCATTCTTTCTTTCTCCCTCCGTTATTCAGTACATATTTATGGTGACAGGTACAGGGTGGCTCTCAGTGAATATTTGCATCATGAAATTAAATGAGGAGAATTTTGTGAAGCACACAGGGCTGAAAGAAGGTGCTCAGTAAATGAGAGTAATCTTCATCGTCCCAGGTTGCTGCGACAGCAGTGACAGCAGTGTATTACCTTGCGGTCCACTTGGCCAGCTAGAGTGAGCTCTTGGCTGTAAGTGGTTTGGTTCAGGTCCTTGTCTATTTTGCAAGGGCCTGGCACCATGGAAAATGTACCAAGCTTTAGTGGAATGACTGAAGCACTTAACCTTTGTGTGCATTTTGCAGCTTGTTCTTTGCCTGGCTTTCTCCCTGGCTTGGAGCTCATCAGGGAACCTGGCCTGGTGATGCTATCTGATGTTATCTGTTTAAGGCCAGGTTATAATACCAAAGGATAAAGCTTAATCTGCTATCTAGGCATGCTCACTGCAGAACCATTTGGGAGCTAGTACATCTGCCTCTCCCATGGTCTGCTGTGTTGGAGAAGGAAAGCCAGTGAATGAGGCTTTGAGATGTGGGTAGAACAGGCTCACTTTCTGAGCTCTCTGGCCTGCTTCCCACTTCTTTGATTGTCTTTTGGATGCCTCCACTTGAGACAGACACTGCCATCACAGAGAGACTAGCAGTGTCCAGGACACGGGGCCGAGGGCTCCCTGCAGGCCTGCTTGGTCTTAGAATACCCTGGGCAAGCTGAAACTTCAAAAATGCTTGTTAAAAATGGGTTTTGGTGTTTCTATGGGCAAAATGACTTAGATACTCTTATTTTTCCTTTCACAGAGTGATCAGCAGCTGGACTGTGCCTTGGACTTAATGAGGCGCCTGCCTCCACAGCAAATCGAGAAAAACCTCAGTGACCTGATCGACCTGGTACGTGCCTTGTTCATGTGGCTTCATTTGGGGCTGGGGCTCATAATTGGTCGGTTTTGTGTACCTTTTTTCATGCAGAACTCAAAACACACAAGAAACCTTCTCTCTCTCCAGCCAGACACCACACTGAGTTACGAGATTCCCCCAGACAGAGGGAAGATGAGTTTCATATGGTTGTCTTAATTTCAGCACCACCTGTGTTAATACAGCCCAAGGCTAGAGTTGTGAAGTTGCTTACAGTCTGTCTCCTCCCCCCACTGGCTTGTTTTCTGTTTTTAGAAGCTCACCTTTTAGACACGGTGAAGTGGGCCACACATCCAGCAGACAGTCCCCAGTGGGTCCGCAGTGGGTGGTGCCAGGCTTCAGCAGGCTCCTTGCCACTGTGGAAGTTGCTCTCACCAAAGCAGTATGAAAACCTACCCTGGGAAATGCTTGGGTGGCTTCGCTTCTAGTTCGAAATGGCAGAAAACACAAGGTAGCTTTTGAAGAGCTCATCGCATCTGTTGTTGAAATATTTAATTTTTTTTAAGATTCAAAATCATTGGTCTCAAAACGATGCCTCAGATTAACTGGCACTGTAATATTACTTGAAAGTGTTCAAAAGTATTCAAAAATATCTTTAAAGCTATGGGAAATATTGAAAAGAGGTAAAATAAAATAAAACCAGGCCCCAAGAGGCCAACTCCGTTACTACATCATTTGGCCAGTGAGTCCTGGCTCTGGAACCTGGGCCTCTGAGTCTGAGCCCTCTGTTCTTTTCCTGTGTCCCATGTCTTCTTGGATATAATTATCAGTCACCAACCCTGGCTCACTAGTGAGGTAGCTTTTAAAATAGTGATTTGAAGCCCTGGCCGGTTTGGCTCACCGGTTAGAGTGTTGGCCCATGGACCAATGAATCATGGGTTTGATTCCGGTCAACGGTACGTACCTTGGTTGCAGTTTGTCCCCTAACCTGGTCGGGGTCGTGTGGGAGGCAAGCAGTCGATGTGTCCCACCCCCCATCTGAAGATAAGTGGGAAAATATCCTTGGGTGAGGATGAAAAAAGAAATAGTGGTTTGAAGACTTGTTCATATGCTGTAGTGCTATGTCTAATTTCATTGTATGAATTCCAGTTTTACTAGGAAAAAAACATGACTGCAGGAGACTCATGTCATTCCCAGATACCCTCTTCATAGTGGTCTGGAAGGTCCAGAGTGCAGCTACTCTGTATTTATAGGAACACAGACTCCCAATTGAGAGGCAGCTGTATGAGACCGAGTGGAGTCTATTGAAGGAGTTGTGAACTTGCTGTCTTTTACATGTAATCATTCAGGAAGTGGGAAGAAGGAGGTTTCTTGAGGTTAATGACTCAGACAGGAAAGCCAGCTAAGGTGCTTGTGATGGGAGTGAAGAGGAGAATGGAATTTTTGACGGGTCCTGTATTAAAGAGAGAAGGTGAATTGTGATGCAGATGAACCTACTACATGCTCAAAATCTGGGCTCACCAAAAGCCAGGGAAGAGACGTAAGTCACTGAAGTGGGCTTGATGTAATCCAGGTTCTGGCTGGTAGGCTCCATCTGAGGGCAGTAATCCCTCTGCTCCAGTCACTTGGTGCCCTGTGGGAATATGGTATCTGTGGCTTGTTTTCAGGTTTTTCTGGAAGAGCCATACATTTGGAGTTGTGTGTGAAATATCCTGGTTTTTAAACATTGGTTCGAACCTTGGATCCATTAGATCTGATTTTGTGTTGAATTTGGACATGTGCCTGGGAAATGTGAGTTGTGGGGACGGGGGTCAGAGAAAAGAGTCTTTGTTGGGAAATAATGAGATACAAAGTTGGATAGGTAGGAGGTGTCCTTGAAAGTCAGAAGGAGGGCTTGAATTTGATGTGCTAATTGTCACCATCAAATCAACCCCCTTAACTGAGCTTTGTAGCAACTCTTGTGCTAACAATCCTATAAAGGCAGCATTACGAGATGCTGTCTCGAAGTGCTGTGTGTCTGTGTTTCTCGGTCGGAGGGTTTTGATGGATCATATGTGGACGAGGTGGGCAAAGGTTGAAGGTATGATCAGATCCCTGATTTGATTGGCTGCAGAGACTTTTTCTTTTAAACTCAGCATGAAAGTGTGCTTGGCTGGATTTAAGTTTAGTTTGCCAATTTAGTTATTACTGTGTTTTAGAAATAAACAGAATGAGTGATGAGCAAATTTTTCTCAGTGGACTCTTCTTGGTGTTGAACAGGCTATTTTGTTCTTATGGCAACTGAAGTGTTTTACTACAGCTGTGTATTTTCTCTGTGATCCCTCATCATTATTTATTTCAGGGATGTGCACGCTGCTGCTTTTATGGAATCCTGGTCGGCTGGTTCCCTTGCTGCTTGTGCCAGTTGTACTTGGGTTCAGTAGGGAAATTGCAGCAATGATGGTGAATGAAGGAGCCATCTTTAACCTTAGCCAAATACTGGGTGGGAGAGATCAGCCCTGTGGTTGAGTTTGCAGGAAGGTGCTTGGACCCACTGGAGTGCCACACTGTATCTGTCCCTGATATGTGATATCGTATGTGGCCTCCCATAGATTACTGTTAGTGCACTGACTTTCCATGTAACATCATCTTCTGTAGAATGGGGCTAGAGAGGGGATGGAGGCAGGTGTAGGCTGTGGGACTGAGCTGGATGCTTTTTTTTGCTATCATTTCCTCGACTTTTCATCATGTGTATATATATGACCATTTCACCTCTTTTAGGTGATTTAGACTCTGAGGAAGAAGGTGGTGGTGTGGCTGAGCAGTACCAGGAATCCCAGTTTCTCCTGCACAGGTTAAATAGGGTGCGTCTTCCTGATGTGTCAGTCTTAACCTGTGTGGGGGAAAATGTGAAATAATTTAATTCATTAGTAATCTAAAATATTAAAACAGATCTTTTATGGAGAATAATTTTAAATTCACATAATTAAAGTAAAAACACCTAGCAACTTGAAAGACATTTCCTTTTTAGAGCCAGGCCACTTGGGATTATCAATTCACTTTTGCCCATTGCTTCATGGGGAGGCTGGAGAGGCACCGACTTCCCCTCACCGGCTGTCTGGAGGCCAGCCTTGGGCCCCATCTCCCTGCTAAGGCCGAACAAGGGGGCATCATAGATTCCCATCATTCAGAATGGCCTGGAGGATTGGTGTTCTCATTAATTTTTTAAGATTTGAAGTATGATGAATGTCAAAATGGAAACGAAGCATGACTTTTCAGCGAATTAGGATCTGGTAAAGCACGCCTCATTAAAACTATTGACATGCTTCAGAAGCCGCTTTTGATTAATGGTCTGCTTTGCACTGGAGTGTATAAGGGCATTTAGGCTGGTTTTATGCTGGATCCTGTGACTAGTCCTAGAAATTGCCTCTTTGAATGTTTTCCTTTAATCACTGCTGTTTTTCTTCTGTTTTCCCTAGGAATGACAGTGTTTTTTTTTTCTTTTTAACTGGATTTTCAAAATTCTCTTATGCTTGTAGGAATTGGTCCATGCTAAGTGTGGCTCTGAAGTTCACTTGCAGTTTTAGTTTCTTCCCAAAGCTGTAATTTCAGAAAACTTGCTCTGTTATGGGTCCATCTAGAAGCAATGTATCCGGGCCTTTGTTTAATGTAATCTGGGATCAGTCAGATGTTTTCAAAGCTGCTAATGCACTGCTCAGTGCAAATTGCAGTCATTCCTCCCGTGCTCACCTGCCTAAAATAATGAAGGGGAGGTGGTGGTTTTCGAGAAAAGTCTCCAATTTTAAGACTGACAAGAATGTTAGGATTTGCCAGCATTCCCCATGAAGGGAATGGCCTCTCTTAGATGTAGGAGCCAGAGAACTGTAGGCAAATGTACCCGGTCCACCAGTGGTCCAATTACAGAGTAGTAGTAAAGAGAAATGTGGCGGATGCTTGGCCGAGGCAGCCCAGTCTATCGTGCCAGATCAGCTTGCTTTTCTGCTTTTCTCTTCCCAGCATCAGAGCTTTTGCTGGCTTGGGATTATAATGCGTACTCTGATTGGTGGGAAGTGACCTTCTTTTGCAGATGGCCAAAACATCATTTTATTATATATTAATCCCAATGTACCAGAGTAAAGCCAGCCGAAATTCATTGTTAAGCTGTTTCAAAAATACCCACAGGTCCATGTGGGCCAAGAATCCTGTGATGTTAAGATGCTCCCTTGGCTTCCTAAACTTTGACCTTCTATGGCTTTGCTCTGCACACTGGCAGCAATAGCTGGGGTGTATTTTCAGCCCCGAGCTGAGGAGGGAGTTTGTTTCTGCAAATTGGCACCCAGCAGGCCTTCCATCCTTTGCTTTTTTAAGAGCAAACCAAAAATAGCCCTAAATCTGTTTAACCAGGCAGAAAAGTCTCTGCTCGCTCTATTCACTTCACTTTTTAATTCTTTTTCTTTTCTTTATTATAGTCACCCAAAGGTCCAGCTCTTGGGTGTCCCCAGACTTTAACCAAGCAAGGGGAAAGACATCAGAGTTGGGAAAGCACCAAGCCATCTGGCCAGGCTCACGGGCTAGAGGTGAAAGAGACATCCAGATGCTCTGACCAGGGAGTTGATAACTTGATCAGTTATCATTTCTGCATATTCTTCTTTTTAGCAGCCAGAGTTGCTCTCCAGAAATAGAAAGGGCCAGCTGGGTGTAGGGCTTGCACTGCCCACCTCAGCAGTACCTTCACTTTGAACAGCTTACAGAAATTACCCACCTCTCATCCGGGTAGTATGATGTTGGCAAAGGAGCTGGAGGCCTTGACAGATTAGAGAGCTGGGGTGCATGGAGTGCACTTAGGCATTGGGGCTCAGGCAGCAAGAGTGTGGAGACAGCTTCCACTGCTGTGAACCTGCTCTTCGTGAGTCAAGCTCCCACTCATTGTGACTGGTACAATTGAGGCTAATGGTATATTTAGGAATTCATTAATATTAGTGATTGTCTGATTTCTGTGCAGCATTGGTATTCAGATTTCAGTTTTCCAATAGTTGAACCAAGGAAATCTGGAAATT